GCCTCCTGGGTCAGAACTAAGACTGAACTCACAGTAGCCTAGTGACAGATGACCTGGAGGGTGTCTGGGCTGTGTAGGAGCCTTCCTGGGCCTCCTCTGTGAATTGCCACTACATTTTAAATGCATTTCTGTTTGCTGTTACACTGCAGATCTATTGCCCATCGTGTGCTCCTGATGGGTCCAGGCTGCTGGGTTGGGGAGCAGAGCACACACCTCTTTCAGGGGCACTTTGTGGTATTATACAAGGCACAATGACTCCTGGTTCTTGAACAGGACTGGCTGACATGGCTCCACACAACTGAACAGAGCACATATGCTTAAGCACAGGACACAAATACCCAGCACACAAGGGAAGATCCACACACAATTGTGTCATTTTATTATGTTTGCCTGGACTTTGGCTGGGCATGGCTGTGGTTTGGGAGTTCCCTGTGCCCAAGGCACTCAGGTGCAGCAGTGCAGGGAGCCCAGTGAAGCAGCATGCACAGTAGCCAGGTGGGAAGCTCTCTCTTTACCTGCAGGTAGAAGCAACCACTGCACGTGTAATAGGGCACTGGGATGCAAAGTGGCAGCACAGGGAGGGAGGAGAGTCAGAGGGACACAAAAATGCAAGTCCCTATGTCTCCAGGCAACACCAGCCCTGCCAGGGGGATGCTCTTCTGAGTGGAATAACTAGCAGGGACAGGCTTGGCTCAGGGAAACTTAGGGATCTGCTCAGGATGAGGGGTCACAGCCCTGAGTGATACCAAGAGGCACTAGTGGGAGTGAAGTGCTGTCTTGTCAGCAAGCACAAAGATGAGGCAGATGTGTACTTCTTGCAGGCACTGTTAGTAGAGATGGAGTGAGGTGAACAGCTTTGTGTGAAGAACATCTCCTGCCTGGTTGACCAGGGCACTGGATGACCAGGGCACTTGTTGCATGAAGCATGCAGAGGCCAGGAAGAGGTAGATGAGTTTGCTCTCATTTGTTCCTGGACCCCTTCCCCAACTTTTTCTAACCCATTTTCCTAAGTCGTTGTCATCTCTTTCCCAGCAATTGCTCTCAGTTGCCAAGCCAAATGAAGGCCCAGGGTTGGACACCAGACAGGTTTCTGTTCCCAACACTTTACTTGATAAATGAGACGCCGGGAACAGTGCAAGGGAAAAGGATCCAATCCCTACTGCTTTGCATTATCACTAAAAATTAAACTAACAGCACTTGGCAGCCGAGCTAGAGCCTCTGTGTGGCAAGCAATGGCATCTACTGTCTATAAATGGGAGAAGCCAAGGTTCTCTCTGCAGTTCATGGTGACAGAGCTGTGACAGGGCTCTGGGTTTCCCTGGTATGTTTTCAGACACGAGGTCTATGTTTTTCTTTCCTCCTTTTTTCTTCCCTTATTCTTTACCTTCCAGAAAATATACCTTAAAGTACCCCTTGCAAGTAAGGGGTGCCCAAGTCTGGGAAGCAGGCAGGAGGGGTCTCTGGCTCAGGATGGGTGCTAGGCATTAGTGGCTTAGGAGAGGTCTGCAGGGTTCTTAGGTGATCTCCTGTGTGATGGAGAACATCAGTGCAAGTGGTGAGGCTGAGTCTCATGTGGTGCATCCACAGATCCATTGCCATTCTTTGTATAATCCTCTGAGGAAGGATGGATGGTGGCTCCTGGCATCTTGCACACACATTCCTATGCAGAAAGGCCTATGCTCTACAGCCAGAAGCAGCACCATGCAGAAACCATCCAAAGGCTGTGGGATGCCCTGAGGGAAGTCAGCTGCAGCATGCAGGTGCCAGCTGGGCATGGCTATGGCTCCACTGTCACACTGCTGTTGGTGACACGCACTCCATACCATCCCTTCCAGAACAGAGTGTCCTGCCCGCCGTGTTCGAAGCGCACAAAGCGCACCCCAGGGCCATAGCTGGAGAAGGTGTGGGAGATCTTTGGGACAAGAGACAAAATGGTTGTTGGTAAGCATCAAACCACCATGAACCTGCTTATGTGCATAGAGTTTTCAGTCCCAGCAGCCCCATCATACCTGCCAGGCTGGGTAACAGTGAGGACATTTACACTAGGAGGAGCTTTGATCCCATTCAGAAGCCACTGAGCCTCTCCCAGTTGGACATCTCCTTCACCTTACACCTGCAGTGGTGGTGGCTCAGCTAGTTTCCAAGTTTTATGTAAGGTAGCCTCCCAGTATAATCCCTTTGTTCAATGACAGGGTCATGGGTGTGAAGGACTCATAAAAGAGCCTTCTCCTCCTTCAGGAGAACTCTCCTGCCTCTCTATGCTGGGAAATAGGGAACTGCACTGACAGGATAAAGGGTAACACGCTCAAATTGAAGGGAAATTTAGGTTAGATATTAGACAGAAGTTTTTCCTGTGAGGGTGGTGAGACACTGGCACAGGTTGCCCAGGGAGGCTGTGGCTGCCCCAGCACTGGCAGTTGTCAACCACGTTGGATGAAACCTTGAGCAACCTGATCTGGTGGGAGGTGTCCCTGCCCAGAGTAGGTTGGGACTTGGATGATCTCTAAGCTCCATTCCAACCCCTAAAATTCTATGAAAATATTCCCAATTCATGCAGGTTGTGTGTCACCTGCTGTGACTCACCTCAGTCCAGTTGGCATCGTTGTCCTGGGGGATGGTAACAGTCTCACTTTTGTACTCTGCCAGCACATCCTCATTCTCTGAAAGCAGCTTCACACAGAGCTCATAGAGGCAGCCAGCATCGCTGCGTCCTGCATACCTGCAAGAGATCCAGGCCGTGGCACTGCCTGTGTGAGCCCTGCAGAGCCAGACACAGGCTCTACCACTCAGCAACTTCCTGGGGCTTTGGTTTGAGATAGAAGTCTGCCATGGCTCTTACCCCAGCCCACCACCTCCCCTCATTCACACCAGGAACCTGGGCTTTGGAGTTCACCAGCAGTTTGAAGCTCATGGGAGCTGCCTGTGGTGCTGTAAGCCAAGACTAGCCCTGTCTCACATCTGGGGGATCTTGGCAGCTGAGGTTTTAAAGCCCAGTGCAGGTATATGCCCTCCCTGCTCTTCCTTCTTTCTTGACTCTCTGCCTGCTTTCTGAGGCATCCTTGCTACTTACCAGTCTCTTACCACAATTTTAGGCTGGGTTGTATCCATCAGCTCTTCCCAGTAGCCCTCAGCCCTGAGGTCAATAACCTGAGCCTTTCGACACCACCTGAAACACAAGACTGGTATCACAGTCTCTCCTGGGACTGAGGGAACCAAAAATGTCCCCTAAGAATAAGAGAAGAAAGCAGCCTTACTCAAAAGATGTAACAAAGTATTTATGGACTTCTTCACTAGGGAATTCTTTTCCAAAGTCCCCTGGGAGCTCTTCAATTTTCCAGCCATCACCTCCATTTTCTACCTCTCCCCAGTGCTCCAAGTCTTCTGCAAATGGCAGAAAAGAGACTTGGATGAGTTTTAGTTTCTGTGGGCCTAGGGAACCTGACCTTCTCCCACTGGAACCTTCCTCTGGCTTGTGAAGGTTTGATGGTAGACACAGCACTAATGTTGTCTGCAGACCATGGATATGTTTGTTAACCTTTACACAGCACTAATGTTGTCTGCAGACCAAGCTCAGTCTGGCTGAGCTTAATATTCCCAAACCTCCACATTCCCCACCAAAACTGCTGTGTACGTGTAGGTTTATTTAAGAAAGTACTTCAGGGAAAGGATTTAGTTAGTCTGAATGGTTTGTCAGTGCTTTCAGTGTCACCACACAGAAATTGCCTGGGGAGAGATGCTGATTGCTTTATGTCTAAGTTCTCTAAATCACTATGTGGTATTTTAGAAGCACTCTGGCCTTAAACATTGGGCTGTTCTGATCTGTGCCAGAGGGAACCTGGACGTTGGAAAAGCTTGTGGAAAATAATCTGTGAACCAAATGGGGAAGTTGTGTTGATATTGCTTTGGTCTGTGATGTGTGAAATTGTTGCTGCTTGACTTGTGAGGCCTGGTTACTGCTGCTTATTGCTCAGCAGCTTGTAGCTCTGGCAAGTGAAGCTCATAGATGCAGAATAAAAGCACGTGGGGTATGTGCCCAGCTCTAATGTGGGCCGTGGTGAGGAGGGTAAAAACACAATTTGCCTGAGCTGCTCCAAGCAAGGAAGCCTGAAGTGCCTGGTGAGCTAAGGGCAAACTGTCCCCTGAGCAGGGAAAGGCTTCATTCATCTCTCCTCTCATGGTTTGGCAAAAAGCAATAAAGACAGATACCATGACCATTACTGTGCTGGATGGGCTCTGCAAAGGACACTTTTGTCTCTCTAATGTGATTTGAATCCCTGCAGGGGTTATAAAAAGTCAATGTCAAGTAAAGTCCTTTGCAAAGACTGAATAGTCAAGGCCTCTGTGCCCACTAAATGATTTGGCTGTGTGCACTGAGTGATTTGACTCATGGGCAAGGAGAAACTTTTGCAACCTGATAGCAACTAAGATCTATCTTCAAAGACTGGAGATGCCCAGTTCTCAGTGACTGGTCATCTCTGAAATCTTAGCATTGTTGTGCTTGTCTCTCACCTTCACCACATGGATTCTTGATGAGATTCTTCCTTTTCTTACTCAGGAAGTAGAAGTTTTGCCAGTTCTCTGCATCCTCCTCTGACTCTGCTCCAGTGAGTGCCACTTCAGGATCCAGAGTGCAGCTCCATCCACCAGGTTCTTCCACTGGCAGCAGACCAGGCGGCACACCAGCACCAGATCCACCGCAGGGATGGAAGCCAAGATTCGGATCAGGACTGCTTCAGGGAGGGACTCCATCCCTGGGCCAGGCTGGACAGAGCTGCCAGAGAGAGAGAGGGCTGAAAGGAGTGGTGACACAGCAGTCCTTAAGGCATGGGATCCCACCCTGAGTGATGTCAAACACTGATGCAGTAGAAGAAAGGGAAAATATGTTATCTAAAGGCATGACTTTGGGGTTAAAGATTCCTTCTAGCCTCAGGGTCTCCTGATCCCTATTTAGTTAACATCCTGAAAAAGATTAATATTTTATGTTCTAAGTGAAAGCCCTAAGTTAAATCCACCCACAAAATGCAAGTATGTGACATCTGCAATTTTGGGCAGTTTGTTCATTGTCCAGACCAGTCAATCCTTCCAGAAGTCTCTGCTGCTGCAAAATTCAGCTACTTAGTAAGGATTTCATCTGCAGAGGGAGGCACGTGGAGGCTTGTTCTGCCTCCAAGAACATCCTTGATAACAAATTTTGCAGAGCAGTGGCTGCATATCAGTGCTGTGCATCTTGCCAGACACCTTTGCAGTGGTTCACTCTCTATCTGACAGGCTTTCCCTCAGGGCTGCCACTGATCTCCTTAGTCATGGGCCTGTGTCAAGTACAGGTCTGAGCATAATTGAAAATAGCTTGACATTCTCTAATGCTCCATTTTCTACGGCCTCATAACCTGAGCAATCAAGCCAGAAGTGTGTGTTCTAACTTCATATGCTAATTTTGGACTCCAAAGAGCTCTGTGCCACCCTGAGTTCCACGTGCAGGTGCTGCAGGATGAAGGAAAGATGAGTGTGCAGATTCAGAGCCCTTGTCATCAGTGAGGGATGCACTGTGACACTGCTGAGTCCTGGTGCTGGGAAGCTGCTGAAACTGCAGTAAACTGCATGGATGCAGCCAAACTCCTCAGGAGTGAGTCATTAAACCTGGGAGAGCACCAGGAGCAAAGAGGTGAAATATCCTGACATGAGACTTGATGAAATACAGCAGTGCCAAACCTGGCACAGGAAGGAACAAAGGAGGGATGTAACAGCATCCTAAATCTAGGTGTCCCAGATGCACAGCATCATGTGTCCTCTATCTGCACTGCAGACAGCAGGAGCAAAACTTAAAATTCTTTTATGGGGATAGCTAAAACACACAGATAGATAGATAGGTAATTAGGGATTTGCCATTCTCCCCGTTTCCCACGCTCAACCACAGTCCTGATGGGAAAAATGTCATTAGTACAGAAGCAGATATGAGCGATGCTGCTGTTCTCCCCTTCTGCAGGACTTTCCAGAGGCTTCGCCCGCTCCCTGCCTGCTGATGGAGCATCACCTCTCTCCTCCCTAGCGAGGATGCTCCGCGCACTCTGGGTACCTTCCCCACGGCGCTCACAGCATCCTGGCGCGGGGCTGCGGCCGGGGCAGTGCCATCCCTCCCGTGCTTCCCTCTCTGTCCCACGTTCCACCCAGCACACAGCCCGGGGAACGCGCACGAGCCGGGGGAGGAGAGGAGCGACCTTACCTGGGACGGGGATGCGTGGGAGCCGCGGGGCAGGGATCGGACCGGGATGTCTGATGAGGGTGCGGGTCGGACCGGGGTGCCTGATGAGGGCG